TGATTTCGTAACAGAAGAAGAGTTAGTTCTCGCAAGGAATTTACGAAATTATTTTCAATAAATCAAGCTTTAAATCACGCATTTACAAGAGTGTTATTGGCAAATTAAATCAACTGATCACTGTGTGAATCGCAGTGGTAAGAATTTTTGACTGAGTTTCCTATTCCTAGGAGACCATAAGATGATATGTCCATGTTATTACTCTAAACCAAACCATCGATTAAATTAGAATAGTACAAATCATTTTGCATATCGAAAGCGTTGTTAGGATTTAAAGTTACGTAAAAATCCCAACGAAGTAATAAGGCATTTTAATAGAGCATAATAATACAACAGTGTCGTCAGTTGCTTGTTTATATAGATTTTAATCAAATTTGGTAAATTGATTTACTTAATCCTATACTATTAAAATTAAGAACCAAATTGGTTAAATTGGTTAAATAATACACTTTTAACCTCCTCCCATCGATATATATCTACCACAACATAATAAATTTAAATTCCACTGAAACTCGTCTAATAAAAGCCCAAATTAGTTGTAAATAAAACGTGGGTTCCCTTTAGATTGCTATTATTGAAATAGACTATATCAAGTCCATAACTCGGTCCCCCGGTATTTGAAATTAATTGATTACTAACTTAAATACTTTCGATCTTTTATACAATTAGTTCTGTGAGTCAAAATATCACCCGATGAACATTATTGTCGTGAATCAATAGTTAAAATCACGAATACTAGAACTAGTATTCGTGGTTATAATTAATACATTCAGGGTATAACATTGTTGTCACAGCGAAAGTGCGCTATGACGCATGCACCATGTGGGTTTCTTAGCATCACCCGACGCCTAATAGCAGAACGCAACTAGTGCTGGCGAGCTCAGTCACTGCCAGGGATCCAGTAGGGGTTGCCTTCCCCGTAGCAGCAAACCTAGGTACTAAATTTAAAAACAAGTGATCAAGTGATACATCTGCCCGCTCTGTCGGTTGCACAGTACGACCATTTTGATTCACCACACCCTAGCAACCATTATAACATAGGGATTGAATAGTCAAGTAAAGTCAAAGGCTGTAGTAAATTTTCTGACAAAACCCCCGCCGAAGATAACCTGCAGATTGAGTTGATTTCATTTTGTCTGATTGGATCTGTACAACAAAATTCAATAAAACCTCACATATGTTCCCAATGTAAAAAAATTATATTTAACGAGTACTTAGGTTTGCTGCTACGAGAAAGGGAACGTCTTTTTCATAAAATTGTAATAGTATAGGATGAAAGAAATACATTTCCAAAACCTGATCAAAATATATTCATAAATAATAAGCAAACTGCATTAGTTAAAGTTTTCTCCATAAAAATAATTCCATGGGAATTTTAAGTGTAATCTTTTTATAATCTTTAGTTGTATAACAACCTTTAATATGCGATTTTGTAGCTTTACACGATGAATGTGATTAAAATAAAGCATTTCTATGTGTTAAGGGTAACAATTTGAAAACCCAAGTTTGAAAAAAATCTAAACCATTTAGATACATGATCTTGCTGGCTTGCGAACTCGTTTAAGTTTGTAATAAATAACATATTCCCCACACATTCATGCCAAATTTCACCAAAATCAAACCAAACTTGAGTTATCGTGTTCACGTGCGTAATTATATGAATTAATCAGGTTTTTTTGGCCCTGGTGACATCAAACTACTAACATGTTTAGCCTCTGAATCACGTAATTTACTAATAAAAGGTTAGGTAAATTAAAATTAGGTAGGTTAGGGGTTAGGTAACCTGTAGTACTTGTCCGTGATAGTACTACAGGTATTTAACCTTTTATTATCAAATTACTGAAATAAAACGCCCCCGGATCTATGTCTTACCACGAGACTTAGGTAGGCCTGGATCATAGCTTATTACCTATATGTAAAATACGCAAAAAACAAATTTCGGTAAATTCCACCTTAGAAATTTGCTGCTGTAAAAGCAGTTATTATTATTTTTTTGACCAAAAATTTATATAAAGTCCAACGATAAAGAAATACACCTGCCGTTTAAAAACTGCAGAATAAGCGAATTTCCTTTCGTCAAATTAGATTTTTACTCAAATATTTCCTCCAAGATTTCAGATTATTCCCCTATTTAAAAAAATGGTTTCACATATATTCAATCTGTGGTTTAACTCAGGCCATCGACAGTGACCTTGGAGAGGAAAGGGCTCGGAGCATAAAGTATAGCGACAGTCCCAAAACAGTAAAGGCCTCAATCTCTACATACGGGACCCTCGTAAAAGAAAATAGGATGAAGCCATTTGTTCAATCTTTTCCATGGCAATTTTGTGGACAAAATGTTTATTTGCAAAAGAATAGATTTTACATAAGATGCGTAACCTAAAATCCCCTAGATCCTAGGACTAGCAATTAAATTACACAGTGTACTGTATGCAAAGTTCGGTCTGGTCGTTCTTTTGGAAACTTTTTCATGAGTACTTTCTTAAAAATCCCAACTTAAATTTCACTTTAAATCACATGTACAAAGATTTTTTCCTGATAATATCTACAACGAGACTTAAGAAAAACTTATTGAAAGTCTACTTTTACATCGGTTGTAATTTCTTTTGTAGTTTTCCTACTTAAACTCCCTCCCTTACTGACGCAAAAATACTAAACAATCCTGAATCGTATGGGAACTTAAAAATCTATATATTAATAGGCAAGTATGTTTCTTTAAAACCTTTTTTCTCAGCTCGTGTGCATTGCGGGGAAAATCTAAGCATACCTTTAGAAAGATATTTTCCTGTAGAAGTGCAGAATCCCTTTAAAAATTTAAATAGGCTCAAATATAAGCACAAAAAATGAATTTCAAAAATTTAACATGGGCTTTATGGGTTGCCATGCTGGTGACAAAATAACAACAAAATATAAACAGAAAATCAAAACAAATGGAAGAAATCACATATTTTATTTACATGGGGTGAAAATAGAGAAGCCTGAACCTTTACATTCCATCCCCATGTTAAAGTTGTCACCAGTTTTTTTTATTAAATTCGTCGTAGTTGATGTGAGCCACCAACTGATTGCGCTGATCTAAATGACTAAATTTCTGTCCAATACACGAGGGTTTTTACCAAGTCAAACTGTTTGAATGAGATATAGGAACTGTTATGACCCATCAATTTTGTCAGCAACAAAAAATAAGGTATAAAATAAAATTTAAGACACTTTCTGTGAATGGCTCACACAACTACGTGTTTTTAAATAAATAAAAAAAAAATTGAAAAATGGTGACAGCTGGTCCATATAGATGGGAAGTCTACCTCAGTATCCAATATTCAATACGTTACATGTTTTGGTCGAGTTTTCGACCACTGGACGGCCACTAGTAATAATAATTGCACCGTACTAGTTTATCTGATCAGTTTTGTGTTACATGCAGTGTATTCACGCGGTTACTTGGTTCGTGTTGAAAAATCTGTTTTCAAAAGTAAAAGTTAGTTTCGCGTGAACAATCCCATTTTCAAAGAAGTTACTGCCACGCGGTATCGTTTGAAGTGAATCGTCGATATTTTATTCATGAGCCGTTTTTATCTCACAAAGGTTTCTTGCTCAACTATAAAGCCTTCTCAATATCAAATTTTTTATGATAACAGTATCAACCAAACAGGTATTGTTGTCTACCTAAATTGTTATAGCCTACATTTTAACGAAATTTAATTGGAAAGAAAGTTTATCATGCTTATTGGTTGATACGAAAATGGTTTGAACATAGCGTAGCGGATTAATTACTAAATTATTCATTATTTACTGGTGCAAGACTGTGCATTATTTACACCAATTTATTGCGTCCCATTAAAATATTGGCTAAATGATAAAACCAACTAAGTCGTTTTTATCTCATATTAAATTTGGGCACATCTCGATAACATAAAAGAGTAGTTATATTAGGCATGAACGTTCTCTGAATTGAAGAGCTACCTTTACTGATGTGTGTTAATTACTTGAATGACAAATTTTAAATTAATAAATACGCAATTTATCCGAACGACTTATTGAAACTGGGTTCAGAAGTGATCCTCTTTTGCCCTTTTGGATCAACCAAGTAATCTTCAGGTTGAAATTTCCCACTCATCCTTCCAGTACGACTACAGGTTTATACTGTTTCAATCATTCCACAATTTGTAGGAGACGAAATTTATACGTTAACAAGACGAGAGCGTTTTAAACGGTTACAAAATATCGTGAATTCATGATTGACTTGTGGGTTGGATCTTCATTATTGTCCAATACCTTTGTCAACAAATCACGTGATCTAATGATTCAAATTTTTACGAAATTTACAGTGCGTTATAAGACATTCACTTCTCACTTATCTTCGCATTAGAGGCCTATCCTCGTTTTCATGTGGTCTTAACATAAAGTCACGGCATTATTACTAGAATATATTGATGATGGTGATGTTTTAAGTCTCCAAGAAGGTATACATGAAGGCATCCGACACTAAAAGCACTTAACCAGCCGTTTCTAATCCCTAAATACTGAACCTATATTGTTCGAGATACTGGTATTACACCGAAATGCATAACTACGAATAGCCCTGCTTCGACACACAATTTAAAATACGTTTCTGGATTACGTCCGACCTTCAAAATTCTTTCATTGCAGTGCTTGAGTCCCATATTTCAAGAGTTGCGTCTTCGGAGTTATGCCTTTCTGGGTTGTGCCTTTCGGGGTTATGCCTTTCGGGGTTATGCCTTTTGGCGTTGTGCCTTTTGGAGCTGTGCCTTTGGATTTGTGCCTTTTGGAGTTGTGCCTTTTGGAGTTGTTCTATTCGGAGTAATGCCTTTCGAAGTAATGCTTTGCTTTATTGTTGGACGGACGATACACAAACACAACTAAATAGTTGCTTTACCTTGATTTAGTCTAGTGACTCCTTAACCTCCTCTAGATAATTCAAAACTACACACAAATTAAACACACTATTTCCCAAACCTAACCCAGATCTTCTGTTTCAGGAGATGAGTTGTGAGGCAGAGCCGTTGACGACAACGGCGCACCCTACCATCGTGGTTCCGAACCACCGAGACCGCCACGACGGCCACAACGGCTACCTGGAGCCCCAGAAGCATGGCCAGGACACGGAGCTCAGGATACGAGAGAACCCCCTCAGCTTCAACGCTGCGACCTCACCCATGCGCGGCTCCGTGTCGTCCGGCTACCACCAGGTGAGAATAATATGACTATAGTACGTATATCTATGGTAATATTGAGAAAAGGTTGGGCAGAATACCACAAAGTTACAATAATACTACTAGTGTACTTTTCATGATTAAATCGTGTATTTCAATCCGGACATTGCGTGGTCGAGATAATTGAAGTACATTATATTTCTTTCACAAAATTTAGATGGGTTTAGGGAAAGAAAACTATCCCACCCACGTCTTGGTCCTACCACTAAAACATAGCTCAACAGCTGAGATTTGTAAAACCATTAATCAGCTGGAAAATGCATTAAGCAGAAAGAAATGGTGGGAGAACTTCCCCTCGAACCGCCTAAATGTTGTGAACGGACCGTGGTATAACAAGTATTCATTCCTTCCATTTTTGATCGTTTGCATTGATGGTTTGCTCTCTAACAACTGGTAATTAATGCAATTTTGAAAAACATTTAGATTAGCAGCGTTTTGATTTTTTTGTGTCGCAGTTTCTAGGTAGCCTAGTCATAGCTTATCTGCCTTGATTAGACTCTTTGGTGTATGATAAAGGATTTCGACAATTAAGCATGAAATGCGTTGAAAACAAGGCCGCGAAGATAGGGCACGTTCCGCATAGTTTGTTTAGTCTTCGACATTTTGTTTTCCGAAATGATCTTAAAACAAGCCTATTGTTTTGCTGTTGCATTATGATATTGCATTTACACAATATGATATTTACACAATATCATGTGACTGCATGATTCATAAAACTCTACTTTCATAAAGAAAACATTGAAGATTAGAAGTCTCCAACAATGTTGGTTAGTGGGGTGTTATACGTGGCCGGCGTTGTTGTGGTGAACAATGTTAAACTATAATAAATAAACATTTTCTTTATATAGTTCATCAACGGACCGAAAGTATATTTTCTACCCTTATTCTTTGTCAACGGTTGTTTAACTTAAGCCTGTGTCGAAACGAGTCACATTAGAATGGTATCAATATGAATGGTAGAATGGTATGATTTCTTATTAAAAACCGCAACAATGATCTGATAGAAGATTTTCAAAAGTATCATTTTTTATTGTAGACCTCCTTATTGCGGTGAAAAATGAAAACTGAAGTAAGTTTTTATCGAAAACATTGTGATAAACATGAAAAGAAATAAATGTTGGTTAGACCATTGTTGTCTTTCCAATTACTGTCTTCCAAGAAATAAAAGTGTCCGAAAAATAAAGCAGAAAGTCCGAGGCGATTGGTCTAGCTAGTAACGACTAAAGCTTTCCATTGACAACGGGCTTTGATAGCTAACGTTATTTATTGGTCTTGGTTCTCCGTAATGCTATAGGTGAACATTACAAATAGCCTGTTTCAACTTTAGAATCAATATGCGGGAGAATCTAATTTCGGGTGTTTAATAGATTTATAGTAGTTTTTTCATCTTATGTTGTTTATGTGTTTATCCTTTTAGTAGAGGTAATACCAGAATATGACCCCACTTTCGGCGTTTTTGGACTCAGGACTTTTAAATTTTTTGGCGAAAAAAATACCCCAAATAGGTATAATATGATGGTTTTACCCCATTTTTGGCGTTTTAGAGGCTATATGGGGGCACTTTTTTGGTAAAAAAATGTTATTAATACTGAAAAACATGTCTGGAAATGAAGAGCTTTTTTTGACCACTTTTTTTAAAGACCCGGCTCTCGGCACGCGAACTCGGGCGCGCTCCCGACCTATAGGCATACTTCTGATCCCCAGCGATGACAAACTAAAAGTCTTATGAAAAAATGTTTGAAACAAAAATTGAGGAATATCTAGTCATCTATACTTTTCCCACTGGCAGTTTTTCTCTGACCGAAAAATAAAAAAAATCCTCGCTTACTCACTTTTTCATGTTTACTCAAAGTAACCTTTTTATATTTTCCATAATTAATAATTATACACTAGCACAAATTAAATTATATTTATATTGTATTAAACAGTAGTTCATGTAGAATTTTAATATATAAATTTCATGTTATAAATATTTTTATTAGAAGCTAGACAAACATGTAAGTGATAGGAGGCGCATCACTTTGAACATCGTCATGCCTCCGACAGTGCCGTGCTGGCAACACCTGGAGTTTGAAACCATTGCTATTGCTGAAATTATATTATAACACATTTACATACAAAAGAAACTGGTAAATGGTTTTAAATGTTTAAACTTTTTATGCTGTATTATTATGTAGAAGGTCATGTAGGCTGGAATTTTAGCCGTTTTGTTGTATATCAAGCCTTTTTGAGATATAAATAAACAATAAAGCAGACCTTTATTTACTAATGCTGATATTATATTACAATGCATTGGCATACAAATGAAAACGGTTTGATTTATTTGTACTCATATAAAATAATATAATTCTTTTGAGTTATAGGGACGTCTGGTGATAAAATCACAAATTTAGAACATTTAATAATGGACTTTTAAAATAATGGAATTAAGTATAGACTTATAACATTTTCATGATAACTGTTTGATTTACTTGTACTCATTTAAAATAATGTTAAAATAGTATTTTATTTTTATTGTTTTTTATCAAAAGTTGAAACCAATGTAGTGTGCCTAAATGTTTATTTACTGTTTTTTCTGTATCTCAAGCCAATAGATAGAATAGGACAAAGAGGTGTTTTTGGTGTTTTACCTATGAGAATAACATGGGGAGATTTTAAGCCACTTTTTAAAAATCGTGCTTACTCTCTATACATTTCTATGCAAATGTCCATCTCCAAAAATATTTCCAATCCCCATTAATGTCTGTATCATGTGAGATTTGCACCAGTTGGTTTGAAATATTTATAAATATAACGTGTTGCTGGAATCGCCTTAAATGGCAAGAGACATGTAGTCTTGGGACCTCTGGTAAAATATTGGAGTTTTCCTAGTATGGACTAAAGATTTTTGAAAATTGAAAAAAAATATGTTTTTTACTCAACTATTTGTGTCTTGAAACATGTATTACCGAGGAATTAGGCAAATATTTCGTGCCGAAATTATATTTTACCTTACGTGAGAACTTGGAATCATTATTTAAACTCAGTCCTACTCCACAGTATTATTGCAGGCTTGCTTCTCGTCCCAAGTGGTGAATTGTGTACAGTTTATGTGTGGTGCAAAGACTAGTTTCTCTTTTTAGTTGTGACCAGCTCATTTCTAAGATGCTTAATGGTATCCACTTTGCCTCTGAACATAAGTAAATTGTAATCTTCAGTTTAGGACTTAAAGTTAATGTCGGATGCGATGCCTCTTTGATCAGAAGTTTGGGTGGTTATTAGCTCAACCCCTATCACCAATATCAGCATAGATCCATTGAACTATTATGTGTTATTGTACTTTGTGCTGATTAATATGTGTTTGGCACAACACACAATCCCAGTTGGTAGTTTAGGTGGGCAAAGTAGAAGTAGGGAGCATTGACTTTCTACAATCATGATGATATATCCAGCCAGAGCCTCATACTGTAATAAAAAAATAGATGAAAATGCAAACTCTAAAGGCCCCGACTGTGTTTTATACTTCTAGGCTGGAACAACCTTTACTTGGAATATCGTACATAAATTGTTTGTATACATAAGACTCTTGTAGTGAATGTACTCTTTGATGAAAAGACAAAATAAAGATGAAAACTACTTTATGCAAAGTATCATGATAGTTGTGTGAAATGTGTGAAATATGTGTGAAATTTGTGTAAAATTTGTGTGACGAAGTACACACAAATTCAAATCACAGTCACAGTCAGTTGTTGTATACACTGTGTCGTAACTGATGTGATTGAACTGTGACGTGTTATGTGTGAATTGATTTTTATGTCGTCAAATACAACAGCTGGTTTCTTCTCAACGATATTTTTGGATTTTTCAAACGCCTGCTTGATGACAACGTATAAACTGGAAGCAATTTCAAAATGTCACACTATTTTCACACATTTCACACAACTAATCAAATTCACATCACAATCACAGTCAGTTGCTGTATACACTGTGACGTGATTAAACTATTACATACCGTTTGTGAATCGACCTTTATGTTGTTAAATACAACAACCGATTTCTTCTCAACGATATTTTTAATTGCTTGGACGCCTGACTGATGACAACGTATGTGTTTGTATATCAAGTACTGTTTATAACAATCAACAAAAACTGGCCAATGAAAATTTTATAGAATATTGTGTTTCAAATAAAAAATGTTATATAACATCGGTTAATGAAGAGTTAGAAAACAGACTGTAACCAAATGACTGACAGGTTGACTGAGAAACTATGGATGCAATTGAGACTGACCTATGACTGGATTGTAACAGAACTTTTACTGGACTGATATGCATAAATAGACCTTTTATAGTACAAATAGTATACAATTTCTCTCAATGGGTCAACATAAAAATATTAACTGCTTTTACTTAGAAAGTACGCAAACATTTACACGATAACGTACATTTTCTAATATTATCCAAACAAGGCAATATAAATTTTAAACCTTATATTTAACAATCATATTAATAATGACTTTTCATTTCATCAATATAAAAGTCTTTACCACCAGTGTTGGATGGCTTTTTCATAATAGACAAGGAAAGGTCTATGAATAATGGCAAATACAGATTTATGTTTAATCAATTTTATAATGACCAAGATCATGAGTATTAATGCAATCTTCATAATGTTGGTTGTAAGGCAGTTTCCTCCAAAACAGAGGAAGATAAGGGTAAATAAGTAAAAGACTAAAGTTTCTAACATTTGCATTTTTCAGTGTTCTATATCCTATCATGCAGGTTTGTCTATTTACAATTGATCCTTGGTCCGAAGTTTTGTGCCTTCAGGCTCGTATTCAGGGTTTGGCAGAGGTTAGATCAGTTCTAGCATACGTCCTTATAGCTTGGTGGTCTATGATATTCATGGCTCAACACACCCATGCAGGCACAACACATCATAATAGTGGTGTGAAATGTATGAAAATAGTGTGAAATTTATGTGATAAAATACACACAAATTCACATCACAGTCACAGTCAGAACTTGTAAAAATACTATAGTGTAAAATTTGTATGACGAAGTATGCATAATTCACTTCACAGTCAATAGTCCAAACTTTATGTATTGTCATCTTACCTTTTCGGGACACCAGGTCATAGTTAGCAAAACCGAGACGTTTGACAATCCTTTAATAGATAAACTGGAAGCCAGTTTTAATACGTTTCACCCAGCATATTTATATCGCACTTTGATGATTTATTCACTAATCTAAGTGTGTTAAATATTAAATGATCTCAAAGAATTTTACCATAGAGTAAACACACACAATGAAATCTACCATAAAATAAGATAAATACATTTAGAACCATTATTACATTCATATTACCGGGCATGAACTCACCAACTCATATTAAAATGAGTTTCATATTTTAACAGTAAGATAGGAAAACTAACTACAATATTCAGTGATTGGTTCTGGTTATTTGTATCTATTGTTTCTATATTGGATGAATCATTGCAATTTACTAGTTCAACCTGACTGACCTCTCTCTATGAATTCCTTGATGACCATGTTACCTCTGATGATCACTCTTGCTTACTTGATATTTCTACCACAGAACTTTCACATTCTGATTCATCATTAGGTCTCTATGGAAATACCCACCTCTATATTTACACCCTCAGGTATATAGCACAATATCAACTTCCTTTGTTACTGAATTCGGTAATTTAGCATGGTCTCATTGCTTTTACATATATGAAATACATAAATAATGTTCATACAATAATATAGATCTATAGTTTCCAGTTAATAATGTAAATGTTGTATCAAATGCTATGCAATTAATAATTTAATCATCTGTTAGCTCAAAAATGTGATTCAAATCAATGTAAATAAACTAGTGACAAAATAAGGCTCATTTTTCAACTTACATTTATTTAACCATTTATTTCAATATATAAACTTACAATACATAAGAGTAAAATAAACAACAAAATGGCTTATTTTATAATTTATATGTTTTTGAAAATGAGTAAAGAACAACAGAGCTTGTAAGTTACAATACCAATGAGGGATGACAGTGCATTATGTTGTATTGGTTTTCCAGGTTATTGTTTAACAAGAAACTCCTTCTCATATCGATTGCTCAACAAATACAATCTTTATCCACCACTATTATGGTCTTCATTTTATCACTTTAACTAAATCGATATGTCTCGATGTAAATGACATCCCCACTATGATTAATTCCTGTAAACACAATGCATATCTATAAACTTACCCAAAACAATCCCAATAATTATAGCAACTTTCATTGCTCACTAAAATCTAATTGTTTGTAGCTACCCTTCACAATTACTTTCTCTTCTTTGCATAAAGTAGTTTTCATCTTTATTTTGTCTTTTCATCAAAGAGTACATTCACTACAAGAGTCTTATGTATACAAACAATTTATGTACGATATTCCAAGTAAAGGTTGTTCCAGCCTAGAAGTATAAAACACAGTCGGGGCCTTTAGAGTTTGCATTTTCATCTATTTTTTTATTACAGTATGAGGCTCTGGCTGGATATATCATCATGATTGTAGAAAGTCAATGCTCCCTACTTCTACTTTGCCCACCTAAACTACCAACTGGGATTGTGTGTTGTGCCAAACACATATTAATCAGCACAAAGTACAATAACACATAATAGTTCAATGGATCTATGCTGATATTGGTGATAGGGGTTGAGCTAATAACCACCCAAACTTCTGATCAAAGAGGCATCGCATCCGACATTAACTTTAAGTCCTAAACTGAAGATTACAATTTACTTATGTTCAGAGGCAAAGTGGATACCATTAAGCATCTTAGAAATGAGCTGGTCACAACTAAAAAGAGAAACTAGTCTTTGCACCACACATAAACTGTACACAATTCACCACTTGGGACGAGAAGCAAGCCTGCAATAATACTGTGGAGTAGGACTGAGTTTAAATAATGATTCCAAGTTCTCACGTAAGGTAAAATATAATTTCGGCACGAAATATTTGCCTAATTCCTCGGTAATACATGTTTCAAGACACAAATAGTTGAGTAAAAAACATATTTTTTTTCAATTTTCAAAAATCTTTAGTCCATACTAGGAAAACTCCAATATTTTACCAGAGGTCCCAAGACTACATGTCTCTTGCCATTTAAGGCGATTCCAGCAACACGTTATATTTATAAATATTTCAAACCAACTGGTGCAAATCTCACATGATACAGACATTAATGGGGATTGGAAATATTTTTGGAGATGGACATTTGCATAGAAATGTATAGAGAGTAAGCACGATTTTTAAAAAGTGGCTTAAAATCTCCCCATGTTATTCTCATAGGTAAAACACCAAAAACACCTCTTTGTCCTATTCTATCTATTGGCTTGAGATACAGAAAAAACAGTAAATAAACATTTAGGCACACTACATTGGTTTCAACTTTTGATAAAAAACAATAAAAATAAAATACTATTTTAACATTATTTTAAATGAGTACAAGTAAATCAAACAGTTATCATGAAAATGTTATAAGTCTATACTTAATTCCATTATTTTAAAAGTCCATTATTAAATGTTCTAAATTTGTGATTTTATCACCAGACGTCCCTATAACTCAAAAGAATTATATTATTTTATATGAGTACAAATAAATCAAACCGTTTTCATTTGTATGCCAATGCATTGTAATATAATATCAGCATTAGTAAATAAAGGTCTGCTTTATTGTTTATTTATATCTCAAAAAGGCTTGATATACAACAAAACGGCTAAAATTCCAGCCTACATGACCTTCTACATAATAATACAGCATAAAAAGTTTAAACATTTAAAACCATTTACCAGTTTCTTTTGTATGTAAATGTGTTATAATATAATTTCAGCAATAGCAATGGTTTCAAACTCCAGGTGTTGCCAGCACGGCACTGTCGGAGGCATGACGATGTTCAAAGTGATGCGCCTCCTATCACTTACATGTTTGTCTAGCTTCTAATAAAAATATTTATAACATGAAATTTATATATTAAAATTCTACATGAACTACTGTTTAATACAATATAAATATAATTTAATTTGTGCTAGTGTATAATTATTAATTATGGAAAATATAAAAAGGTTACTTTGAGTAAACATGAAAAAGTGAGTAAGCGAGGATTTTTTTTATTTTTCGGTCAGAGAAAAACTGCCAGTGGGAAAAGTATAGATGACTAGATATTCCTCAATTTTTGTTTCAAACATTTTTTCATAAGACTTTTAGTTTGTCATCGCTGGGGATCAGAAGTATGCCTATAGGTCGGGAGCGCGCCCGAGTTCGCGTGCCGAGAGCCGGGTCTTTAAAAAAAGTGGTCAAAAAAAGCTCTTCATTTCCAGACATGTTTTTCAGTATTAATAACATTTTTTTACCAAAAAAGTGCCCCCATATAGCCTCTAAAACGCCAAAAATGGGGTAAAACCATCATATTATACCTATTTGGGGTATTTTTTTCGCCAAAAAATTTAAAAGTCCTGAGTCCAAAAACGCCGAAAGTGGGGTCATATTCTGGTATTACCTCTACTCCTTTTCGTTGTTGTTTTGTTCTATCTAGATTTCCTATTTCGTTTGGTAACTTTCGTGTTCGTAGTTTTTTCGACATCATAGTTGTTCTGTATGGATTCCCAGATAAGCGTTCTAGACAGGTCTTCAATAGAACGCCTTTTCCTTCAGCCTCTTATAGTTAGCATTTAATACAAAAACTGGGACGGCGGCGTCGTCCTGTAATCCAGCTACTAGGAGGTCACGAATTGTGGATACATAGGCATGCACTGTGGATGCGATGATCCCTGGTGTGGATTAACGTCCGCACTAGTGAGCAGTACGAATATCCGCAGTACTATCCTGATAATTAGACCAATTCGTTAATACCAAGGAAAAAATGTGGTTCGGATTCCAATTTAGTTTTCATTGGCTGTATGGGCTATTAATTAACAGCTGTGTCTAAGGAACAAGTCGGCCCTAGTCGCTAACAAGTCTACAAGATCGCACCACTCATCCAACACTCATCCTTATGTTAAAATATGCACATAGCGTCCCCATCTTAAATAATTGATAATTGATACAAGGTTGCGGTCGCGGCAAGAGAAAAGTGGCAACGTCGCAGATCCGGCCTACCGATACAGCTGTTATGGAGCGGCTGCACAATGTTTATGCTGCGTGTGTGTTACAGCCCGGCCGGTGCGATGTTGCCACATTGTTACTCGCAGCCTTTTACTTGTTTCTCTTTCAATAATTGTTTTGTTCTGTTTAGATTCCCAGAAGAGCGTTCGTCTGGTTACGTCTAGACAGGTCCGGGTCTTCGGTAGAACGCCTTCTCCTCATCTTCGTTGTTATCCTCCTCCTGATATTCGTCTGTCTGCTAGCCATCCTAGTCCTTAGTAGGCTGCAATGTACTCTCCCAGAAGGTAACACTCAACAATGGTTATGTAATTAACTGTTGAATGTTGAAATGCATGACATGAAATGAATGTAACATGCATGACAATTCGTGGAAGTGTTAGTCTTTGTAATAGGGTAGTTACAGCAGACATTACAAGACATTTTTCGTCAATCATTTTTTATTCGTAACTGGTTAAAGAAAGACAAGACAAATTTTATGGTAAATAATACAGAGGTGTAGGTAGAGTTAATGGCTTTGTATTTGCTGAAGACAATTATATAGGTTATGTAAAAAAAAGCAAGTTTAAAAATTATTTCATTTTAATTTTAAGTTGAAGTTTATCACTGTTATGAAATTTAAAAAATATTTACATTCGAACTGAAAATTAACCTTTGTAGTTTTGGACAGTAGGCATTTACCAAGTTTTATTTTAAGAATTGCCCGATGAAATAATCGTGGTCTTCGTACACTTATTAAGTACCTTACTCTATTCCCCCATCAATTCCTCTATTGCTGAAATTTAATAAAAATTCTGATTGTTCGAATATTGTGGTTTTAAAAACTATGAATGTAATTAAAAAGAATCTTAGTATAGGAGAACAATGAAGCTAATGGGTTCTTCTGTAAAAAACATTATGTATCATAAATATATCAATTTGCAGCATACAAACTTTCGCACTGTAATATATCAAACAAACTCCAAGTAGTCGTTCCGGGGTTTCCCACAAAACACAGTATTTAGTTTGCAATGCTGAAGCAGAACACATTTCAGATCGTTAGGTGAGTTTGAGTTTTCGCTCAGCAAACTCAGAAATGAAATGTTCGTTTACAAGGCAATTAGCGGCGCCGGTTCAATTGTTGGCAACCATTTGTAACTTTCACTTCAACTCGCATTTTTCAACAATTATCAACAACATACAGTCGTTGATTTGATTGCTTTGTTGCTTTATCATTTTTTTAATTATTCTCTTTAGCTACATATGAACGTCGATGAAATACATTCTCTCATGAAGTTTCATGGATCAACTGAAGATAATTTTAATGGATCAGCATAATTGATAATGAAGGTTTATTTTTCCTTAACTTGTTTGCAAATACGCCATTTTTAAGATTGCATGGAGTGGTGATTGCTGGCATTTGTTAATTTACAGATTTGCTATTTTCGTATTAACCTGGTATATACTTAAGTTTATGTGATAAATGTAAAGATTTTGATAATTCTGAATGCAATATTTTAGGATTTAATATAATCAAACCATATACTTCACATTTAAATGTTTTACTAAATTCAAGAAATCGTTGACAGAAATCGCACTAAGATTTAGGGTTTGTTGAAATTGGCAAACAATTGACCTTGTCAAAATCGGATCTTTGAAATTGCCAAAACAGATCGCCCAATGTTGTTTCGAGTGGTAGAGGGATATATTGGCTTACACCAAGCCTCATTCTGACAGCTTTTGTTGTCGAAACAATAACGGATCAGAACGCCGCCCCAGTGTGATTCCGTCTTTCATTTGCAAACGTTACATCTGGGCTTGGCTGTGCAAAGTCTGAATATAATTTCACATTTCTCATCGAACTGCTAAATATTCTGTTGAAAATGTTTATTTATGTTAGAGGTTGGAGTTCTGTTTTTACACAGAGTAAAAGTAGGTATGTGACGAAATAGTTAAGGTAAAATTGTTTGGTCGTGATCGTTGGTTTTCTGCCAAGATAACACAAGAGCATTAATAACTACGGGACCTGTTTTAGTGGAGTTAAAAACTTCAAAACTGCAATTCAGTCAACGATTTTTAAGATTATGTTTGTTTAAGAAAGTTATTGTGTGAATATAACCTACAAATTCACAATAAATTAGTTAATTGTAGACCTGTACCACAAAGCTTGATTTGCCTACCTCGATTGATATTAAACATTCAACTGAAGGATCAACTGTTATTAAATTACAATTCAAATTTAAAACAACTACCTATAAACAAAGTTTGTCAGTATCGCTGGTTCTTTGAATGTGAACTCTAGAAATAAATCAAACTCTAGGGACGAAACCCAAAATTAAATAATTAAATAACCTTTTTAGTTACAACGCTCAATTAGATCATAAGCTTTAAAACGACACCTAAATAGTAAAAATCGGTTAAGTAAGGCGGGAAAAAGGGATGTAACACAGAAACCCCCTTTTGTTCTAAGTATACAGGGTGATTGATATAAGTATGCCAGCCGTTTTATTCGAAAACTATAATAGATATAAAAAAAGTTAAATGGTAAGTGCCTTGGATATTTTATTTAAAAAATTATAGTAAAGTCAAAAAAATTATTTTACCCGCCATTTTTCCAATATGGCCGCCAACTTTGATTTTTCTTATGGAACACCCTATATTTTATGATGTATTCTGGTAGAAAAGGTAATTTTAAGACGATTTTATTCTTGTGATTTTTTTCATAAACCTAACCGTTTCAAAGATAATAATGGTTTAAGTTGTGAAATTTTGAATGGTTTTCGAACAAAACAGCTGGCATGCTTGCTTAGGCCTTTATCGAAACTCTCATGCAGAAATTTCAAAACTTTAACCATTATTATCTTTGAAACGGTTAGGTTTATGAAACAAATCACAAGAATAAAATCGTCTTAAAATTACTTTTCCTACCAGAATACATAAAAAAATACAGGGTAATCTATAAGAAAAATCAAAGTTGGCGACCATATTGGAAAAATGGTGGCTAAAATAATTTTTTTGACTTGACTACAATTTTTTTAATAAAAGATCCAAGGCACTTAGACTACCATTTAACTTTTTTTGATATCTCTTATAGTTTTCGAATAAAACGGCTGGCACACTTATATCAATCACCCTGTAGATAAATAGTAACCAACAAAGAAAACAGCTGATTGTATTTAAATCTAGCTGAGTTATTTCAAACTAAAACATGTTAGAATACAAGTATTTTTAACGCAACCTATTGCAAGTATTGTTTAAATTCCCTGTGTTAGCAGCCTTGCTTCCTTTACTTATTTGGCAATCAGCTGATATGTATTTTAGCATTGTTGTCTACACGGTTTAGTGTTATTGGGAATTTATAATGAATAATTAAATACTCAACATGTTGTTTTCACAAGCTTCAAAGAGTATGTAGGCTATTGTATAACCAAATCTTACAACTACCCCATCTACTTCATGCAAAGAAATGTTTGCAAATAGAGTGTTTGGGTTAGATTCCAGTACCTAATAAATCACAGGCTGTAAAAACTATACATTTATTATAGTTTTTGTGTATTGTCAATCAACTCTTCAAGTAGTTGGCTATACACAAGTATTTAAAGTATATTTGTAAGTATAACTCTTTAAGTATAAGTTGTTGCGTAAAGGGACCTTTGATACTCAAACCTAGTGATAAAACCTTGTATTCTTTACAAGAGAGAAGCGTGTTTTCTCCTGCCAGACTTAACAATGTTAACCGCTAGCAATGTTGAAATATTCACAGCCATTACTGTAAGTCCTGCAGCTACACTTGAGTCCTACACTCTCAAACTCGCCTGTAGTAGGGACACAATCGTGTTTTACAAGACTACAAATTGTTTTCTGGGAGTAAAATATTAGTAGGCAATGTAATATGTTTATTTAAAGGTAATACGCAGATCAATTATTTAAAAATGTAATAGAATAGAAATATTGAAAAATGTACGAATAAAAAAGCATACACAGTGAAACAAAAACGTACCTATTTCAACAATCATTTATGTTTCAATAGTTAAATGTTTCACAGAAGTTTTAACGAAAGAATTTACAACAAATCACAATATTATCATTAATGGATCGCTATATTTTGAGTCACTCCGTAAGATTAATTTAGACTAAGTTGAAAAACTATTTTTGACTAAGTTTGACTTGGTGAAACCTTAAAAATAGTTTTTAATTTTCCATTTCGCCGAAATTGAAAGCCAGTGCTCCAGGAACATTGTTAAGAGATTTTAGGAATTTAAAGTTGGGTTTTTCAAATTAGGTTGACATAGACTCCACTCCATATTCTTCATAAACTGTCTTAACCGCACACAAACACATATAAACATAAATAAATGACGGAAGTAAATTACAATAGATTTCACCGCGAATAATAGAAAAGAAACTGCGTGGATCATAAACATAAACAAATTACGTCACTGGCCCGAATGCCATTACTTATAGTTGTAGCAGCTGGTTTGTCAGTTCCATTTAAATAATAAAATCATGTTTACTTTTGGATTAAAATCAAAAGTCTCAGGATTATTTCCGAACCTACTCACATTTTAGTGGATGTACAGACGATAAAATTAAATTTTACTCAGTTACAACTCTTTCTTGGAACATTAGATGAAAAAAAGAATACACGACTAATCCCTTTAACTCAAATAACGAAATAACTAATATTTTTCAGAAGTCACTACCTATTTGAAGCCTTTAAGTCCTCCGGTTGGCCAGAACAGTACGAAAATATACGTATCCTGATATAATTTTTGAAATACCTTTTTTCAAGTTTGAACCGATACTGAAAATTATAGAAGCTTTTTCATGGTTTAAAACTGGGTTCAGTTTTCCTTGACCATCGAGATTTTAATAAATGTCTTGATATTAGTCAGTAACTAGTGTCCCTGATGCTCGAATTCGAGCAATTGCTAAGTATTACAGGCGTTATTTTAAAACGAATTTCAACCAAGTCAGCAAGTTTGTAGCAAACTGTTAAATTAGCAAACTTATTGACTGTTTACAATTAACATATGGTCTTCTTCTCGCTTTTGATTTCTGACAACAGCTGGAGTTTCATAACAATTTTTGTTTCCAATGTTAATCTTATGGAGAAATACGAAAGTTTAAAGGGCTCCATGGCCTCACTCTCTCATCATTTCCCTAAAAAGAAAGTTTCCTGCCCAACTTCACGTTACGCTCTTTCCAATGACACCAAAAACATGACAATCGGTTCAGTAGTTTCAGAGGAGTAATTGTCACAAAAAATCTGCTTGCGTATTAAATAAGTATAGATATAGATTGGCGT